GCCAAAACTTGTGGTGGCACAAGTGGCGGCTTGTGAGGAGTATTGGGATGACGAAGATTTTCGTCATGAACCTGTAGACAACAATGTAAAAAAATGAAAAAAAAATAATAAAGGTTTAACCCTCTATTGGTCGCGCTATGAGCGATTCCCTCACGTTGTGTTTTCCACATCAATTTTCCGCAAAATCGGTCTATCAAATACGCTGAACTAATTAGTAGCTGACTTTTATTCATTTTTGATTTAGATTTTGTCAATAGTTTACATCTACATTGAAAAGTTTTTTTTTTATATTTGACCTTGGTTAATTTTGCATCCTGCTGGAGGAGTATATATTTGATCGGATAAATTATAAAATTTATCAGTTAACTAAACAACTGTGAAGTCTCTGCATCAGTCTCCAGTGCAACAGTTCTTGTGAGTACAAAGCAAAAAAAAAACAAAAAAAAACATCAAGATGAACAGCACAAATGAAAAGAAGACGCAATCCATCAAGAAAAGTAAGAAAAGCAAAAATATTTTAGAAAGGGCCTACGCCTGGCTAAATTTATCGACGATGGAGCAAAATAAATTGTATCGACTTACTGGTATAAAACGACATTCCACCAAGTTTGGTGATAGACTCATGGCCGAATTAGATGGAGTCAGTAAATTGTACCTACCTGAGAGGTACAATGCTTTCACCGATCGCCAAGTGCAAGATTTTAATGGGGCAAATTATTTCTTGGTTAACAAGGGTTTAGAAGGTAAATCCTATAAACTAATTTTGAAATCATCGGCGGACATCGAAGTGCCGAAATCAGCCGATTTAATTAAAGTCACTTCGGAAATAGAAATTGGCACCTCGACCTCCACTCAGGACACCGAGGAGTCCGACTTGGAGGAAGAAGACGCCACCATGTATTACACCCAAAAAAATACCAATACACTGTAAGTATTTCGAAATTTTCAAATACAAACACACAGTGACATTTTTTCTTCATATTTTATTTATTAGTAACACATACATTATTTTTATCAAAATTAAACATTCTTAAATACGATTTAATTAATTTTTTAATTTTCTCCTCAGATAAAGCAATAAGCGAACAAACACAAGTATCCGGACCATCTTCAACTTTTTCATCATCTTTCGACATGGACATCTTCTCTAACACTATACACATTTCATTTCTACAGTCAACTTGTTGCAACATCTGTTGAAATCGAACGAATTCATCACGGTGAGCAGGCAAGATTACATCTCCATAGAGATGCAAAAATTCGTTCACATGCATATTTCAAGAATGTTTAAAACAAACTGATGTGGACACTTTAAAGTTGTTTGTTTGTCCGGATACATATAGGTGTGGTATATATCTTAATTAATATTATGTATTACATAGCATAGAAATACAAATAATCAATTTTTAATATGAATAATAAATCTGAAATTAGTAAACAGAAACAAGATACTGAATTACAAGAACATTACATTGAAGATATATTGCATGGTAAAGAAAATGCTCAATTCGACAATAGGTTCGGTGTAAGATATGATAATCGCCAGGACAAGTTTTTTGTTCGATCAGAGCAAGTGGATTTTAAAGATGCAAATATTACTATAAAGAATAAAGTGTATGAAGCTACATCTGGATTATAAGAATTGTTATTTAGAAAATATCCCAATAAGATATTAAGGACTAAAATATCTATAGTGATATATTGCATACAACCCACGAATATAAGAAAAACTTTGATCCGCAAGATCGAAATGTTTTTAAGATTTAAAAAATATAAACAAATTATTGCTCCATTATTACGTGAAAAGCTATCATCATTCTCAACTTCATCACCAAAAACGGGTGGAGGTATGTTTAAAGAAGTAAATAGAAATAAAACAGATTATGGCATTGGGATGACCCTAATGAACTTGTTCAACGACTTCGTTTGTTAATAGCATCTCAAGCACCTAGTAATACAAATCACTCAAATGAAATTGTTTCTATAATTGAAGAATTACTTATATTTTTACTGTACGATGATTACACAAAGACTGTTAAAACTCACGCTTTCACCCTCTTATTTATACTAGATAAATATTACATCATGATCTAAAAATAATAGTGACATCATGATCTAAAAATAACCATGACATCATGAACTAAAAATAGCAATGAAATCAGGGGATTCCCAATATTTGTGGTAGCGGTTTACCCTGTTGTGATAACAAACGAAATAAAAATATCAGCTTTTGTCTTCTCTAACACTATACACATTTCAACTATCAAAGGGTAAAAAAATTAAAATACGTTTGTTCACACGGGTGTCAGGTTAGACTTTATGCAAATTCATCAAAATCAGCATTTTTGGTATCGGATTACATTTTCTGCAAGATCAGCAAAATATTTGCAAAATCAGCATTTTTTGGTATCGGATTATATTTTTTGGAAGATCAACATTTTTTGGTATCGGATTACATGATTACATTTTTTGCTGACATCAGCAAAAAAATCTGCAAATTCGGTAAATTATTTGTTCAAATCAAGATTACATAGAAGTTCTAATAAATAAATCTGAATAATCAGGATTAAACTGTACAACATTAAAATAAATCTTTCCACACTTTTCAGATGGTTTATCAAATTTTTCTATTGAAAAAACTAATTCAGTCTCATCACAAACTGTATCAATCTTGAAACTGGTTTTTAGTCGTATTGGGGTTTCGCACTCTTCATTCTCTTGATTAATACAAGAAGGATTGTAGGATAGACGAGTTAATGTTTCAATTTCGTAGCACTCTTCACAATAATTAGATTTATAAAATAAATCTTATAAATTCTCCATCAAAATCAAGATTGCTGGTTATTGTAAACAGTTTCCATAAAAACACTTTTACCAGAAACAGTGAAACGAAAATAACGCATTTTTTAATACAAAAGTAAAATCGACTGCTCGATTAAGAATTAGATTTTAAACTAACAATATTTTTTTGCAATTGTCCAGTACCCTATGCTGCGTAAGCGATTAACACAAGATTAATTACGATTAATTACACAGTCAACCAAATTTCCTAACCCAAAAAAAAATTACGAAATCAAAAAAAATTTCTTATTAACCCAAATTAAACGGTCAATTGAGTTTAAAAGATAACGCTTTATCTATAACACGAAAACATTTGTAAACATTCGTTTGTTAGTTATAAACACCGCAAAATAAATTCCATAAAAAATCACACAATCCACCAAATATTTTTATTAAATCCAATTAGGTTATTTGAAAACGATAACCTCTTCAAATAAATTCGGTAATCAAAAAAAAAAAAATATTATAAAAAAAATATATTACACAATCCAACAAGTTTTTTTCCTGAATCCGGTTAGAAAGTTATTTCAACTCGATATCGGCTTTTCCATGGGATGTGAGTGGGGGACTTTTATATAAATATGGCAAGAATTGCTTTAGTCGAATATAGTTTTACTTATTTCTAAATAGTAGTCAACTTTTTTACTTCACAA